ATATATATATATATTCAATTATGTTTAGCCTGGGAAAAAATTCATTGCGGACCCCGTTTTTCCCCGTCTAACGCGCGTTCAAACGGGGATTGAACGCGAATTCAACGAGTGTTGAATAATTCAACGCAGAACCCGCATTGAATCCAAAATCGGACACATAGCCGAATGGGACCCGGCGAGTTGGAGAAACTCCGGCGACAGATTGATGAGATGATTGACAAGGGGTGGATCAAGCCTAGCGAATATGAATTTGGTGCTCCTGTGTTGTTTGTTCCAAAGAAAGGAGGCAAACTCCGTATGTATATTGACTATCGTGGTCTAAACCACATCACAAGAAAGAATGCCTATCCATTGCCTCGTATAGATGACTTGCTTGATGCCGCAGGTGGGTACAAGGTATTCTCTAAGATCGATCTCAAGTATGGCTACCACTAGATTGAAGTCAATCCTGCGGACCAGCACAAGACTGCGTTCAAAACGCGCGATGGGTTTTACGAGTTTACCGTAATGTCTTTCGGTCTCACGAATGCACCAGCCATCTTCCAAAGCCTCATGAACAAGGTCCTCCGCGAACAGATTGGCCGGTTCGTGGTGGTCTACGTCGATGGCATACTAATCTTCAGCAAGTCCATGGAGGAACACCTCAGCACCTTGAGGAAGTATTGACCATCCTAAAAAAAATGCAACTCCATCTCAACTAGGAGAAATCTGAGTTTGGGAAGGATAGCGTCATCTATTTTGGGCATCGGTTGTCTACTGCAGGCCCGGAGCCTGAGGCAACGAAGGTTGAGGTCATACACAATTAGCCTCAACCTGTGAACATTCACGAACTGCGTTCTTTTCTTGGCCTCGCGTCATACTATCGGAAGTTTGTGCCCCGCTTCTCTATTGTTGCTCATCCATTGGCGTGGTTGACCAGTAAAAATGTTCCCTATTCTTGGGACGCCGCGTGCACGAATGTTTTCCAAGCTTTAAAGGAAGCCTTGGTAAGTCACCCAGTACTCCGCATTGCAGATCCCGAACTGACGTTCGTAGTCACTACGGACGCGAGTCAGTACGGAATCGGTGCAGTGCTGCAGCAAGACGACGACGATGGCTTGCGGCCACTCGAATACTACAGCAAACGCATGTCCAGCGTAAAGGTAGTCACTTCCACCTACAGGCGCGAGTTCTATGCTTTGCGTATGGCGTTGGACCACTGGAAACACTATCTTTTGGGACGCCACTTCAAAGTCTTCTCAGATCATGAGACTCTGAAGTGGATCAGACAGCGAACTACCCTGTCCCTTACCTTGCTTTACTGGTTACATGAAATTGACATTTTCGATTTTGAGTTAATACACAAAAATGGTTGTTATAACCGAGTAGCTGACGCTTTGTCTCGCCACCCCGAGTACATGACTTGCCTTATCAAATCCTACAACCTCCGGAAGAAACTGAAGGAGGAGCTCGTAAAGCACACCGCCAAGGATCAGGAGCTTAGTTTCATCCTTGAGCGACTACGGGTTGACCCTAACAGTCAGCCTGATTTTCATGAGTATGGAAGACCGATTTTTCGTCGCTACGAGAACCACGACCGTTTGTATGTGCCCAACCATGAGCCTCTCCGCACTCACTTTCTGGATTTGGCTCATGGACGGAGCGGACACTTCGGCATGGCAAAAACGTACGCAAATTTCTTGAGACAATTTGATTGGCCTAGCATGAAAGAGACTGCTGAAAAGTTTGTGGCTGAATGTCAAATTTGTCAACGAATCAAACCATGCAGACAAAAGCCGATCGGGCAACTCACACCCCTACCCATTCCCGATGGTCCCGGGGAGTCTGTCTCCATCGACTTCACCGACATGGGAAAGGTAACTCACATGTCCTGGTGATTGTTGACCGATTCTCTAAGTTCCTCAACTTGATCCCTTTGCCGCCTGACACCCCAACAGAACTAGTGATTCGTGAGTTCCAATAGAAGTACATTCTGCAGTTCGGAACCCCGAAGGCTCTTCTGAGCGATCGGGATCCGCGCTTCATTAGTAATAAATGGAAGGACTTCACGTCTCAACTGGGGATCAAGCTGTGTATGACATCTGACCGACGCCCCGAAGCCAACTGGTTGGATGAGGAGATAAACCAGACTGTGTTTCAACTTTTTCGTGCTTTGATTATTCCGGATCAGGAAACTTGGGATGAAGAGTTGTATTCCGTTAAGGGGTTATACTAACTTATATAACTACTCCGTCCACTCCGCCACCGACATGACACCCAACGGACTTTACGGTTGGCAGATCCGGAATCCGCTCTCTTACCTATTCCCTGAGCAACCAGATGGTTTAACACCCGACAGACCTGGCTTCAGGGCCAAGTATGATCGCTTGCTCCAAGTTGCCATTGCAACTATGACCAAGCGACAGCACGCCATGATCCATCATGCGAACAAGAAGCGCCGACCGTCGGATATTCAAGTAGGAAGCTATGTCTGGGTCAAGATGACTGAATTCTCAGAAGACGAGGGAGTCTCACACAAACTTCTCCCACTCTACTACTATGGGCCCTGGGAATTTTTGGATGTGATTCGTGAAGATCACTTTGGCCCTTCGTACATCGTTGATGTGCCAGCCCATCTGCGCACATACCCCGTATTCCACGCATCCAAACTGTACCTCCACCGTAGTGCTAAGACGTTCAATTATCGCGAAGATATGATCCCTCGCGCGATCAAAGGCGGGCATGAGATAGACCGAATTAAAAAGCACGTAGGGAAGGGATGCAACAGACAGTACCATGTTCACTTTATGTATCATCCGTTGGATGATATGTACCGGATTTCCAAGCAAGAACTGCTACGCAGCGCACCGCGCGTTGTTAAAGCCTACGAGCGACAAATCGCCTCTAACGCTACCTAAGATCTCTGCAAGGCTCACTGCGACAGAGTATTCTAGGAATTTTTTTGCCTTGCTTGCCTACGGTGCGTTTGTCGAGGACTCTGAATGAGTTACTCGCTCGAAGGAACCTCGCTCTTGAGGGGGGAGTAGTGTGATGACCCGTCCAAACATGGACTGTAACACACAGCTGATTTCTGAGTTTTGCCCATAGACTGAATGCCTTGCTGAGTTTCCCGCCTGCTACTAAGTCTGTGTGTGCACGCTTGCTGGACTGCATGTCTGTCTGAGTGCTGGTTGGCTTGAGTGTGTGTGTGACCATGCCTGTCTGAATGTTGGTTGGCTTGGGTGTGTGTGTGACTGTGCCTGTCTGAGTGCTGGTTGGCATGAGTATGTGTGTGGCCCGTCAGGGCACTTGCTCGTTCGTTGGGCCTTCAGGGCCGGTACTTACCTGTGGCCGTGACATTAAGGGGTTGCGGCGGGGAAAAGCACACAAGTAGCGGGTAGGCCGGTACCGCACCTGGAAGGGGTAGATGTGCAGGTACCGGAGGCCGAGCAGAAGAAGACAAAAGTGGCATTTTTAGAGGCCCAGTAGTGTAGGCTAGGTCTAGGCGGATACCAGTCTGAGTCTAGGGCCTGTACGGGCAATATCAGAGTCTGCAATGATGTTTCCCTCCAAAAAGGAGGAGGTACCGGTTGCTTGGGAGGCCAAGCGGCCTGGAAGTCACCGCCCAAGAGGCAAAGCAGGCCGCTATATCTTCGGGCCGGGCGGAGAGTCCGGCCTCTTTTTCGGTGTGCAAGTTTGGCGACACACTGGTGGAGCGCTATCTGGAGCAGCGCTGCTGGGGAGGAAGGAGAAGGACATGAGGGAGGAAGAAGGAAGGAGGGGGGAGGAGCGCCAGGGGTACTTACCTGGCTATGGTGGCAGCCATCTTCATCACCTTGGTGGGCGCTGCAGCAGGGAGTGCCCAACTGGGGAGAGCCACACCAAGAAGCTTCAAGGCAGGGTTGGGCATGGCGGCCTGAGCTAGAGCCACACCAAGAAGCTTCAAGGCAGGGTTGGGCATGGCGGCCTGAGCTAGAGCAGCCATAGCTGCTTTGGGTTGTCCTTTGGGCATCTGGGCAAGGCCTAGTAGTCCGCCATAGCCTCGGCCTATGAGGGTGAAGAGTGGGGGAGGCGGCCATGGCTATGGTGGACCTCAAGTGATACCTGCAGTAGAAGAGGGACTCGGACATTGATTCTGGATCAGTCATTCAACATTGTATTATTATTTCTTGTATGAATAAGAGAAGGGGGAGATAAGGAGGAGGAGATTGTTGGGCGAAGAAGAAGAGCCTTATCATCTATTTTTGCTGGTGTACATCATCTTCTTCCTCTTTCTTACTTATTCTTCTTCTTCTTCTAATCCTCTCTCTCCTCTCAAGTTCATTTCTTTGTTTCTGCAATTGGATGGCATTGTACTTTCCGATGGATGTGTATCTCGAAATTGGCCAGGATCATAACAATATAGTAGGGTAGACACATTTGCAATTTGCCAATGACCTCAAATGACTGTTGTTCTTCCAGTTCTTTTCCGGTTGGGAAAGGTCCTGCTAGCAAGAAGGGTTCGAATTGAACACCTGAATCTGGACGTGTTTGTGGAGAGGTGCAGAAATTTGGGATTGATCTGCTTTTCTGCATCTCTGCATGAAACACATCCAGATTCAGATGCTTTATCCAATCCTCTGTGTAAGTGGGACCTTGCCCTGGGAGTAATGTCGAGGTTTCTCTTCCTCGGATTATTGAAAGAAATGGAAATTTGAATTTTCAGATGGGGAAAAAAAAATTAAAAAAACTGCTATTTTATTTTGTGAATAAATTGAGTAGGGACGATTCGCATGCAAATTTCGCAGTTCTCTTGGGCGATGGGAGAAACAAGAAAGGACCGCGCTAGCGCTAGCGCCCTAACGTCGGCTGACCGACGAGGCCCGGCCGCACCCGGCTTGACCAGCGTGCTGGAGAGGTGAGCCCCTCCAGGCCGGTGGGCCTGTTCACGCGCCCGACACGTGGCCGTGGATTTCAGGTTGCCACGTGCCACCTGTCGTTTGGTGACATGGACGCCTCGCGACGTGTGATCAGGGGAAGCGCCAGCCGTGATTGATTGGAGGTTACCGCACAAAAGCGGCATGGTTCTTTGAGCGAGATATGACTACCATGGAGGAGATTTTGGAGAGGGAGCTACATATTGGAGCAAACGAATGGCTGATTACCTTGGAGAATGGACGTAGATGGCTACAGGAGATTGTGAGGGACATGTCTTTATGGCTGCAAATGGAGCCAGAGCTCGAAGGGGGAGCGATCTCTCTGGCTGGCTGGCTGAAGGAGAAAAGTGAGGACATGCTGCAGATCATCTGGGAGCTGGAGGAGGGGCCGGATCCTTGGCTAGACGTCTGCATCGATTGGAGGAGGGCAGATGGCATCATGTCTGTCTGCAAAACCCTCTTCAATGAGGATCGCGATCTGTGTGATCTTCTGGAAGACCGGTTGGGGGACGTTATTAATCGTGAGGACGCGAACGTGGCAATAGAGGTAACAACGTTAACGTCCAGACAGTCAACAACATTAATAAAGTGGTGCGACAACAACAACAACAACAACAACAACAACAACAATGCTAACAGCGACGATAACACAAACAAAAACAACAGTGGCGAAAACATCAACAACAACAACAACAACGATAATATCAACAACAACAACGACGGCGATGGCAATGACGACTTCGGAAGCAGCGAGGTTGACAGTGGTGGCCGTACAAATGCGATCATCATCGACATGATGGGGGAGAGGCCGCAAGCGGACGAAGGGGAGATTGAGGTTGGTACGGAAAAGGGGTTTGCTATCTCCCCCCCTCTCAACGATAGTGACGACGACGGCAACAATAACAACAACAACAACAACAACAATAACAACGACGACGACGACGGCGACAGTGGCGACAACCAAGGGAGCAGCGGGGTAGGAAGCAGCATCCGGGCATCTTAGATTATCATCAGCATGATGAGAGCGATGCTGCAAGCGGACGTGGTGCGATATGGGGTTGGTATAAAGAAGTGGTTTACTGCTTTCCCTCCCTCCAACCTCGATACGGAGTTCTTCCTTGTGGTCTGGCAGAGGATATGAATAGGATAGCTGGGGGTGATTGATGTTGCCCGGCCTGCAATACCAATCATCAATGGGGGGCTGATCGTCTTGTTGGTTGGCGGTGGGCTGTTTAGGGATTAGGTAGCAGGAGGTCATTCCTTCCCTGCGCTGGGAAGTAATCGATGCCCCCTGAATGTTTCGCATGATAATGCATATTTCATACTGGACTTGACGTCCAGATCATACATCTCTCATCCTTGACAGAGCTTTGCTTCTAGGCTTGATTGATAAAAGATCATATACAGCATTTCGTGCTTAGGGTTTCGTGATTAGACTCTAATAGATATGGATTAAGGACATTCATAGATAAGTTTCTGACTGTTGGACATAGTTACACACCACGATATAGGGACGATGGACCCGATTTCCAGCAGATGCAAATCACTTCATTGTAATACACATCACATCATGGTTAGGGTTTCGTTGGATTGGATTGATACCTCAGTTTGTTTTGGAGACTCTATAGACGAGATGGATAGGGACGCTGGACCCGTTTTCCAGCACACATATTCACACTATTGCACACGGACGCTGGACCTGATTTCCGACAGATACAGTTTCACCATTGTAGAGGGACGCTGGACCCGATTTCCAGCAGGTGTAGCTCCCCACCAATAGATGGAGCCTTTGACGACGGGGCCTACTTACCGGGGATGCTCTTATCACCTCGTTCGGTAGGTTTCCCATATACGAAGTTTGTTAAAA